GAATAAAAGAAATTAACAGCAGTCCGTTTAGCAGTAAATTTGCACAAACTAGATTATTTATTTATTTATTTCAAATGGCAGGCGTTTTGATAACTATCATTAGCCATTTAGCTGACTACAAGCTTCACAGATGGAAGGTTCACCATATAGCTGACTTCGGGCTTCACAGAGGGAAGGTTCCTCGGTAGCAGAAAGTCGAGGAGTGGGGAACAGAAGAGCGATTCCCAGATGCAAAAGAGATAGACAGACATAAAGGTAGAAAAAAGGTGATGTGAGTACTGTGGAAGTAGTCGAATATGACATACAGCGAGGTAATGGTATTTTGAAGTGAGAAGTCAACTGCCGGTTTATAGACTTTTTGCCGTATGAGTATACGTTGCTCAGTGTGCTTCACTTGGAGGTAAGTCTATCGCGCACCCCACAACCTAAATTATAAAATCCAATGAAGTAGGTTCCTTTGCCACCTTGACTTTACATTTATCGGACTCGCTGCCAGTTCATATCAGTTACTCCCACCCCCCCCCTTCCTCCTCCCTGCCACAAAAAGGTAAATTAAAGCATTTTTCTGACTTACTGTGAGCTATAATAATAAACTTATTCATAATTATATTACCTTATTAATAGCAGTAATGCACAAACAAAGTACATTTCACGCGCACGAGTGAAAGAAAAGCAGTGAGCAACTAATTCATTTTCTCAATATTCTGGACATTTTATTTATTTATTTTCATCACCTTGCTTGACTCCTAGAGAGTCATGACGCGTTCTATTAGACTCATATGAAATATTACTGTAATATAAAAAGTTAAGAGGAGGCTTAGTGAAATGAGAATTCTACGGGTCAAGTTTTTTTGAAACAGAAGAAGGTATGGGAAGATGTATTAACAAGATTTACCCTCATCTGATCTTACTTCCAATGGAATCATAAAATTATGCATAAACACAAACTGAAATATAAAGTACTAAGTGTCATTCCATCAAATTTGTGAATTTCTCTAGTTTCTAATCTCCCTCTAAAGGATGAATTCAATTGCAACATAGATAAGCTAAACTAACTTGTAATCAAAATTGTTTACTATATTCTCTTATTTTCCTTGGATGGTGTTGGTGACGAGGCATATCTCCATTTTCCTGAAGGTTAGTGAAGGATCATATAAAATCCTATATCAATGCAAAATTTAAGCACCATCTGCTATATCTGTATGCGTTATCATCTAGATTCCCAATTAAAATAAAGAAAGGTCTGCTTTGTACTTTTTATCTTAAGTAGTAATTCATCTGTAGTGAGGCATTTTAAAATTGAAATGGATAAAAGAAACACAGAGTGGACATGGATATCATGTGTAGAGTGCACAACCTGTAATATTCCACGAATATGCACTAAAATCAAATACATATTTGCCAGAGTTTTCAGAAACGTCAATGATGTTGGAGCAACAAAAGGTGTCGTGCGTTACATTGTAAGATTTAAGTAATGCCTGTGTGGTTATTCAAACTTTTAGTGCAAACATGATTTTAATATTAAAATAGATTCTTTGGATAGAAAAAGAAGGCATCAAGATGGTGGCTTCACTTAATTTAAACTTAACCGTCATGGCTAAACCATAAAAAACCTCTAAGGAATCTATCGCAAGGTGGTAACAAAGTATGGAGCTAATGGCGGTATTGCCTATATTTTTATCAATTGGCGCAAGTTTAGGCATTAACAACGATTAGCGTCACGCTACCCTGCCATGGCCATTGATTGCTGATTGGCTGAGAGATCTCTGCACCCCACCAGCACCGCTCGCTATTTGTCAGGAGTGCGGTCCCACCTTCCAGAATGTTCGAGCCTGCATGAGATTCCTCTGGGACGGCTTTGTGGTAACTTCGTGCACTCAGTTCCTACACTTTGAGGCCAAATTGGGTGTAACCGAGACCATTTTTACAATTCCAACAGAGGACATTCAATCTCTGTAATTTTCCGATTACGATGATTTATATCGGTTGTCCTTTATTTTAGTTCCTAAAACACTGGCATAGTTTCAATTAATAAATATAAATTTTTAACGTAGTTCTGAAAAATATAGTCCAGTAAAATAGTGAACAAACAGGGAGTAGGTCTAAATAGCGTAAATAAAAAAAATTCGCCGGGCACTACAGATGCACTTATCGCGCGTGGATCGATAATGGGAAGTTGTTTGAGATGGAAGTGGTGATTGTGCTAAAAGTGGTAGCCATTGTACACCCTTATGGTTCTTGACCATCCTTTTTATTTCACCTGTGTCTTGACTAGTCTATACGATTTTCTATAATTCACCCCTCCTTAGATCACGCTACTTATTCATTATTTAAGTATATTCTTACGCGATTTGATTACTAGTTAGTATTTCGCTTAGGGATTCTGCCACTAGATTAGAGGGCAAAATGTTAGAAATGATGCGTTTGGTCGTGAAGACTTTTCAAAAACACCCCTAGCATTTCACAAATTTAACAACCTACTGTAAATAACCTTTAAAGGGCATATTTCCGTAGTAAATGTTCCTGGCGAATGATGCACGGAACATTTTTTGAGTGCAAGATACTTAGTTGCCTAATATTTTCAGATCAGTTGTTCGTGATTGTTTTACGTCAAAGGAACAACTGACTTGTAATTTTTTGCTTACGCAAACACATACGACAGCACAATAGCTTCAGCGACGAATTCCGAAAATCAGTTTTGTAACATGGCAATTGTGTACACATTCAAATACATTAGTAGGGTAGTTTGCTAATCCTAGACCAACCGGTTTATTGTAGTGACTTTTGTTTTCCCAAAATATAAATGAATATAAGCCAAATTAAGCGATTTGCCTTCCATTACAGGTAAGGCATACGGATTTTTAAAGGAAATTAACCCCAAGAGTAAATATTTTGGTGCCAGGAGCGGTCAGTTGATTTTTCCTATGGTTGGCAATATTTTATTCACTCAATCACTGATAAAAGGGGACATATTTTCTGTCGAAGTTAATTATTGTGTAACTTATGGTTTAATACGATCTCGAGAAAGAAGATGTTTTCATATAATGCCCAGTTTGAAGGAGCAGTTCTCGTTGTACAACATAGCTATAAAGCGGATATCTATATTTAATAGCAGTTAAAATTTGAACAGTATTATATCCGAACTTCAAATTTATTTGAAGATATGGATTTTAAGTTAGGATAAATTATTCGGATAAGTTGATAATTTTGAATTTGGGACAATTATATAACTTATGTAGAAGGCTCATATTTCTGCACTTTTGCCAGACAAAAATATTGCACACTTTGTCTTAATTATACATCATAAATTTTAGTATACTATTTCCAAAAGGGAATCCGTCCCTTTTAATAATGGGCTCCCTTTCCATAATCTAATTAACTGGTGAACGATAACTTCCAAATTATAATAGGATAATCTATTATATTATCTTTTCAAAATTAGCGAATTTATCTATAAGTTTCAAGCAATAACCATTGATAAAGATTAGTGAATATTACCGATTATATATATATATATATATATATATATATATATATTAGATTGAAGGATAATCAGTTAAATTGGAGTCTTGTCTAAATTAAAATTTAAAATTCAAAATGAAAGTGCAATAATATCAGTCAAATTTTCGTGAACTCTGCCGTGACACGCTTTTAATAGCATAGGTTACCGTAGAATTTCACACCAGCATCAATTTTTCTCATTAACCATTTCAGTAAAATATGTTTGTCCATTAAAATATGCAGAAATGGGGCATATTAATGAAAAACCAAGATGGTTCAAATACTTATTTACTTAATTAAGTAGTGTCTAATGTTTATACTTCCCAAACCTGTTTAGTAAAGCATCTTCCAACACTAATTTTGAGTAGTGTGAAGTCACGGAGCCTCCCCTGTGAGGGACCGGATTTTGCCACACTAGAGCATTTAGACCGAAACAATGTGGCTGACTATCACTGGGTGTGCTGTGATGGAAATCAAAATTTTGACTTCTGACAAGTCGAGTGACCAATGCTACAACGACGCATACACCAATGGGAGTCAAGATACATTAAAAGGGAGGGGGGGGGGGGGGGGGGAGGGGTTGTAAATAGCGGCAGCTAAAAGGCGAGATATTCCTTCAAGGTTTGCCGGACTTTATTTGTAAGGCAAAATAAAAGAAATTTTTGATGATCAATTTATGTAATGATGATCTTCATTATCTGGGCTTACTTAAATAGGATGCTTGGTATATTTACGAGTTTACTACGTTGCGGTCGCTTTATAGGGTTTTCTTTTCAATAAATTGTCACAACAACGCATCCCCCAATGTCTTTGAAACATTCGAAAAATAAAATATTTGTATTCATATTAATTAAACACAAAAAATGCGAACATATGACATAGTGCATAAGAGAGAAACGATATACTGAGTTCTCGTAAATAATACATGATAAGACGTAACACGACATAAGTAGAGTGAAATGGTAAAGGAGGTGGCAATAAAATGCATGCACATGCATGAATACGATTTGGACTAAACAGACATTGCTCGCGGGAATTAAAGTTTTATTGAAAATAATTTTAAAGGCAGAAAACAATAGGTTAAATTGGTTTTAAGTACTCATCTTTTAGGATAATATTTTGACGAACACATAAGGATCACACAGTAAAATATTACTACTAATTAACTTAAACAACCCATCATTTTAAAGCCCATAAAGTGGCAGATAGTTGCAAAATTTAGAGTCAAAAATAGTATTTTATTCAATTTAAATAAAAATACTGCTGCACATATGTCTTTTATAGAAAATCACATTGTCACCGAGCCAAGCAATATTAGTGTTTCAGGGTCGAGATAAATCCGTAATAATGCAAATTTAATAAAAGAATATTGTCATTATTTAAAAGCTTGAAATTAAAATTAAGTGCATCTGAATACAATGAAAGTTTTAAGTCCCTTGACCCAGCTGCAGCGTTTACGCCACAATTAAGCGCGTGTACGAATCTTTGTGGCTGTTCAGATGCTCGAGCCCAGTGTGGATTTAGTTAAGAGCGATTCTTTCAAACTTCCTTATACTGGTGCCCTTGGGTGGAAACAGGGCGACGAAGAATCAAAATGGGCTCAAAAAGCAATTGAGACATTAGTAAAAAAACTGAAGAAACGAAAGGGCGTTGTCGATCGTCTCCAGTACGCATTGTCCCATCCCGGTGAACCTAGTGAATGCGTTTCAATTCCAAGATCGCTTGATGGACGCATACAAGTAATTTTAACATTATATAATAAAAAATATTGTGATAAGGTTTCTCATAGAAAAGGTTTCCCTCATGTCATTTACTGTCGGGTTTGGAGATGGCCGGATTTGCAGAGTCACCATGAACTGAAATCACTGGAATGTTGTCAATATCCATTTGACTCAAAACAAAAGGAGATTTGCATTAATCCATACCACTATAAACGTGTTGATTATCCTGGTAAACTAGTCTTTAAATTATATCGATTTGCCATAGTTCTGCCTCCAGTTTTGGTTCCTCGTCAAAGTGAATATCCGACAGTAAAAGAGGGTCAGTTATCATCTCTCGATTTTCCTGATTGTAAGGCTCTTTGTTAAAGTAATTTATTTCCTCCGTTTAGCCCAAAGCATTCCTTACCAAGAGCCCCGGTATTGGTGTACTATAGTGTACTATGAAATGAACACTCGAGTCGGTGAAGCCTACTTCGCTTCTTCGCCTAGCATTCTTGTTGATGGTTTCACCAATCCTTCAAAGAACTCCGATAGATTTTCTCTCGGAATATTATCAAATATTAATCGAGCCCCTGTTGTTGAAAATACTCGTAAGCAGATTGGCAAAGGTTAGTTTTGAATTCGTATTAGATTTGTTCTTCTTTAGGAATCCATCTCTATACTGTTGCTGGAGATACATTTATAGAATGTCTGTCAGATAGCAGTGTTTTCGTTCAATCGCGTCTCTGTAACGAGAGCCATGGATTTCACCCAACGACTGTTGTAAAAATACCCCCAGGCTGTTCTCTAAAAGTATTTTCAAACAGTGAATTCGCTCGACTTCTGCACCAGACTGTTCCACTCGGTGTCGAAGCAGTCTATGACATTGTCAAAGTCTGCACTCTTCGTTTGAGCTTTGTTAAAGGCTGGGGGGCTGAGTATCACCGTCAGGATGTCACCTCCACACCCTGCTGGGCGGAAATTCATCTAAGGGGACCTTTGTTCTGGTTAGATAGAGTTCTGCGCCAAATGGGTCCTTCGCCAAATCCTGTCTCTTCTGTTTCCTGATTACCCTTTTCCTCTGTGCAAATAAAATCTGTGATAAGCATTTAGAACTCTGCGGCAAATCCAATCCAATTTGACCCTGACAATCCGGTGATGTTACTTGACTTTTTCCCTTCTTTCTTCACTTGATTATCCTCATGGTTTTTTTCTCTCCTTTTCTTGTGATTATTCCTAAATATTTGAATCTTACATTATATTCTCATATCTGTATGCATATAATCACCCTTTTGTTTGATTATTTACGCCAATACAGTATTTACATATGTAATCGAATTCTCACGTATCTTTCGCCAATTTGCTGCTTTTGTACATGGAAAATTAGTATGTATTAGGTTGGCAACTAAGTCATTGCCGATTTCAAATAAGAAGGCAAATTCGGAATTTTTGTTTAAAAATATAACTTTATTCAATTAGATATTGACCGTTCTTGTCGATGACCTTTTACCATCCTTCTGGCAGAGTAAAAATTCCCCGTTCGTAAAATGTCTGGTCTGTGCTATTAAAAAACTGAATTAGGTGTGATCCGTGTTGTTAAAAATTTTGCCATTTAAAGAGTTTTGTATGGAACGAAACAAATGGTGATCCGAAGGCGCAAGGTCAGGGCTATATGGTGGGTGTGAGTGACAAAACATCCCAACCCAGTTCCAATAATTTTTGCCGAGTAAC